ACAAGCAAACACTAAGGGAATTTGTCACCACTAGATCTGCCGTACAGGAAATTCTCAAAAGTGCACTATATATGGAACAGCACAATCAATATCCACCAGTAATAAAATCACCCAAAAGCTTAAGCTCACAGCTCCTTTAAAACAGTAGCACAAGGGAAAACGAAACAACAAGGTATCATTCAACATGATGAATAGAATAGTATCTCATGTATCATTATTAACATTGAAGGTGAACAGTCATAATGTTCCTTTTAAAAGATATAGATTGGTTGACATAAGAAACAATGGTTAGAAGCTTCTAGCTTCTGGGCAGCCGGTCCTGCCCCGCACGTCCTTGCAGGTGGAGGCCGGACATGGGCGGGATGTCCATGAGTGTCCTGCCACTGCTGGGCCACTGGAGGACTTGTGGGGGGAGGGGGCTGCCAAGTGACTCTGTCCTGTACCACAGCAGCTTCCATGTTGATCTTCTAGTCTATTTTTGGAACATAAACTTTGGAGTTGTAATACTACAGGAAAAAATAAACTACTAATTTGTATTAAAAAAAAGTTAGAAGCTAGAAGCTAGTTAGAATGGATATATGAAAAAAACAACAAATAGCAGATGCTGGTGAGAATGTGGAGGAAAGGGAACTCTTATATGCTATTTTGAGAATGTTTATTGGTATAGTTATTATGAAAAAAATATGGAGATTTCTCAACAAACAAACAAACAAAAAACCTAAAAATAGAACTACCATATGATCCAGCAATTCCACTACTGGGCATTTATTCAAAGGAAAGAAAACCAGTATATCAATGGGAAACCTGCACCCCCATGTTTATGGTAGCACTACTCACAATAGCAAAAATATGGAACAAATCTAATTGTCCACCAATGGATGAATGGGTAAAGAAAATGTGGTATTGTGTATATACGATGGAATAATATTCAGCCAAAAAAATTAAAATTCTATCATTTGCAGCAACATGGATGGAACTGGAGGTCATTATGTTAAGCAAAATAATCCAGGTAGAGAAAGACAAATATCACATGTTCTCACTCATGTATGGGAACTAAAAAATTTAATCTCATTAAGGTACAGAGTAGAATGATAGGTACCAGAGGTTTGAAAATGTGTTTGTTGGGTGGACAGTGGGGAAATGAAGTGAGGTTGGTTAATGGGTACAAACATATAATTAAATAGAAGGAATAAGTGTTATTGTTTAATATCAGAGTAAGGGGAGTACAGTTAACAACAATATATTTTATATTTATAAATAGCTAGAAGAGAGAACATAGCATGTTTCCACTACAGAGAAGTAATAAATGCTTGACTAAATTCCCTGACTTGATCATTAATATTCTATGCATGTAACAAAATATCACATGTAGCCCATAAACATGAACAACTATTATATATCAATTAAAAATAAAATAAATAACAAATAAAAATAGCCAAATGTATAAACACAGAGAGTAGAATGGTGGTTTACATGGGCTGAGGGGAGGGTTAAAGG